CCCCAAAACCCCAAAACCCCAAAACCCCAAAACCCCAAAACCCCAAAACCCCAAAACCCCTCATTTTATCTGAAATTGATAAAATAAGTTCTAATAGATATGGAATCTGAGTTTAAAAAACAATCAAAGCTTGATGACAACTTGTGCGTCTGGCAAGAGTTCGGACAAATCTCAAGGAAGTATAAGGTACCCAGTCTTGGAGAAGGAGCACCTCATTTTCAACCACCAAAGTTCTTGGTTGATAATTTGGTCAAGGCAATTGAAGAAGGTCACAACCAATATACGTCATCGTATGGGCATCCAGAAGCAAGGAAGCTTATTGCTGAGTTATACTCTCCAAAATTCAACAGAGAAATCAATGATGGCAATGAAGTACTCATTTGTAATGGAGCAAATGGATGCATGAACACTCTTCTTCAGGCTATGCTAAGCGATGAGAAAGATGAAGTTATCTTTATCGAGCCATTTTTCCCACAATATCTTGGTCATGCCCAATTTGCTAGAGGAAGTATCAGAACTGTTCCTTTATTAGTTGGTGATGACAACCAATGGCATCTTGACCTTGATGTTCTTAAGGAGACTTTGAATGAGAATACAAGATGTATCATATTGAATACTCCCCACAATCCAACTGGAAAAGTATTCACAAAGGCTGAGCTACAAGAGATTTCAGATATCCTTGAAGAATATCCACATGTTTATGTGATTAGTGACGATGTCTACGACTTTTTGACATTCGAAGGTCATGAGCACCATATCTTCGCCACCTTGGGAGACAACTGGAAGAAGACAATCACAATTTTCAGTGGTGGCAAGGTCCTGTGTTGCACTGGGTGGAAAGTAGGATGGGCCATCGGCCCAGCTGATATTCTCAGACAAACAGTAGTGTTTAATGATTGTTGCACTTACTGTCATAACGTACCTGGTCAAGTTGCTGTTGCAAGGAGTTTAAAAGCTGCAAGAGAGGAGGAGTATGAAGGAGCTAAAAGCTTCGTTGACTTTGAGAAGGCAGATTTTGAAAAATCACATGAAATCCTTATTAAAGGATTAGAAGAAAGCCCTCTACCAATTAAATCCATCCCAGCCTCTGGAGGATACTTCATCTTCGCAGATATCTCAGAGCTCAGAGACATGATCCCTGAAAAGTACTTCGAACAACAAGAATACGAAGAAGACCCTGACACCACAATCGAAAAGAACGACTTCGGATTGCCTGTCCCCTTAGACCTTGCTGTCTGTAGATGGCTAGCAATGGAGAAAAAAGTGGTCACAATGCCAGGCACTTTCTTCTACATGAAGGGCAGCAAACACATGACCGATAAGTACATTAGATTGGCATTTTGCAGAGGAGAGGAGATCACAACAGCAGCAATGACCAATCTAAAATAATTGGAGAGATATTAAATTTACTTGATCAAGATAGATTCGAATAGAAATGACCAATTTCTTCATTACTGTAAGGGGTTTTGGGGTTTTGGGGTTTTGGGGTTTTGGGG